TATTGCTCTGGCTAGGACTTCTAATACAATACTGAATATAAATGATGAGAGCAGGTACACTTACCTGTTCCCAATTTCAAGGGGAAACCACAAACAGCAAAAGAAAAATAAATGAGGCCTCATAAAAATTAGAAACTTTTGTTCATCAAAAGACTTTACTGAAAATGTGAAAAGGCAAGCAACTGACTGGGAGAATATCTTTGGAAATAATATGTCCTACAAGAATCTAATAACAAAAATATATAAAAAACTTTGAGAAAATAACCCAATAATAAAATGGGCAAAGGACCTGAGTAGACATTTCACCAAAGAGGACTTTCAAATAGCCACGAAATACATGAAAATATGTTTAACCATCTTTAGCCTTCAGAGAGATGCAAATCAAAATCACAATGAGATACCATTTCACTCCCATCAGAATGGCTAAGATTAAAAAAAAAAAAAGTTGGCAAGGATGTGGGGAAATTGGAACCCTTATTCACTGCTGGTGGGAATGGAAAATGGTACAGACATTGTGGTAAACAGTGTGGCGGTTCCTTGAGAAACTAAAAATAGAACCACCATATGACCCAGTAATTCCACTCCTAGGTGTATACTCAAAAGACTTGAAAGCAGAGACTCAAACAGAGACTTGTACAACAATGTTCACTCCAGCACTATTCACAATAGCCAAAATGTGGAAATAAATGCCCATCAACAGATGCATGGATAAACAAAACGTGGTACATACAATGGAATATTACTCAGCCAGTAAGAGAAATGAAGTCTTGATATATGCTACAATATAGATGGAGCTTGAAGACATTATGCTGAATGAAATAAATCATTCACAGAAGGACAAATAATTGTATGACTTCACTTATATTAAAAGACACAAAAAGGCAAATGTAAAGAAATCAAAGTTCATTACTGTTTACCAAGGCTGGGAGGGAGAGGGAATGGGAGGCTAATGGTGATGGAAAAATTGCATTAATTAAGGGTAGGGTTGCACAACCAGTTATTGTAATTGCTGTCAATAAGGTGTATACCTGTAAAAAGTTGAACTAGCAAAAGTTATGTGATAAATATATTACAACAACAACAAAAAAGTAGCTGCTGAGGTTGCTTACGTACAGCCAAAAACCTCATGGGATTTGGTTCCTTGGTTTGGAGGTTTAGGGTCATGGTTTCATGGGACATCCCAGTCAATTGGCTTAATAACACATTCAGTGATCGGTTCTGCCTTCTAGTTCATTGCTTAGTGCCTAGGGTCTTAAAAGCTTGCAAGCGGCCATTCAGTGCACAGCAATTGGGTCTCTATTCACCTGAAGCAACAGGAGAAGAAGGGTCAGGACTAGGAGGAAGATATGGAATGTGTGGCTAATGCCTCCTTTGCCATGAGACCAGAAGAATTCGATGGTGCCTGGATACCATGACTGAAAATTTTGATCAAACATTCGATAAAATAATCTTGACCAAAAGGGGGAAAATGCAGAACAGAATTTCAAAATCTCACAGATGCCAGACTTTCTGGAGCCATGGGGCTTGATGAACCCCTGCAACTATTTGTCCTGAGATAATTGTCAAAAAGTCTTCTGAAAACCAAACAATAGGTTCACTTAACTAGTAAAAAATGTTTGCCTTGCACATTATGCTTTTATAAGAACTATCTATAAGGGATCAAAGTGACAACAGCAACTCTCAAAAGATTAGATGAGAACCTTAGGGGGCAGTGAGTTAATGGAAGAAGAACAGCTCAGAAAAGGAGGGTGAGAATAGTTGCACAACTCAAAGAATGCAATCAATGTCACTTAATTGTACATGGTGTATGTTTTGCTGTGTATATTCTCAACAAAATGTAATTTTAAAAAATTCTGGTTGCAAGAGCAGTTTGAAAATATTCATATTAGAATCAGTAAAGGAACACCTATCACAATTTCCTTTTGGGAAGAAAGTATAAGTGGAAAAATAATAAAACAATAAAAACTTGGTATAATCAAACTTTGCCACAGCATGAGGGGTTCAACTATCCCACTGGCATGATCTCAGACCAGAGCTTGCTTCTGTATAGTCCTTATTCTAATCGCCTCCTCATCTCATTATTTCTCTCTATCTTACTCTTCACAGTACATGGAAACATGATCCACATGTTACTGTCCTTGGCCTTCTCACAGCTTGATGTTGTTGTTAGGTGTTGTCGAGTTGATTCCTACTGGTAGCAACCCTACATACAACAGAACAAAACACTGCCCAGTCCTGCACCATCCTCACAATTCTTGTTATGCTTGAGCCCATTGTGGAAGCCACTGTGTCAATTCATCTAGTTGAAGGTTTTCCTTTTTTTTCACTGACCCTCTACTTTACCAAGCACGATGTCCTTCTCCAGGGACTGATCCCTCCTGATAACATGTCCAAAGTATGTGAGACATAGTCTCACCATCCTTGCTTCTAAGGAGCATTATTGTACTTTTTCCAAGACAAATTTGTTCGTTCTTTTGGCAGTTCATGGTATACTCAATATTCTTCCCAACACCACAATTCAAAGGCATCAAGTCTTCTTTTCACAGCTAGTTTTCTCTTAATCCTTCTACTTTTTCCTTCTGGGTCACCTTCCTTCCCCTTATTTCTCTACCCAATCATCTGGCAATTCTTGGCCCTCCCTTTAAAGATAAAGTCTTTGGTTGAGCATGACAATAAAGAGGGCGAGAAGAAGGGGCCTCCAGAAGAGGAGTCTACTTCCCTGGACCTGCCGTTTACTGCATCAAGGAAGTCTGGAATCAGGTTGGGAAACCCAACAGAGGAGCCATGACTCCACTGCTTAGGAGTTAAGCTTCTGACACAACATAGCAAAGTATTTGGTCCATCGTAAAGTGTGTCAGAAAAGCTAAAGAATAATGGCAATAGTTTTAAAACTGATAAAATCTAACACCCAAAGAGCAGTGCTATGTGCCAGGCCTTCTAGAGGTTTTCTATGTATTACCCAGTTTAATCCTCACCACAATGCCTCACAACATTAACCCCATTTTATGGAAGGAGAATACTGAGGCACAGTTAATAATTTGATCACGGTCTCACAGCCAGACCAAAACAAAGTCTGATTTTGAGCTGTTTCTCACTATATTAATGTGGTGTGATGGATCACTTTTGTGTGGCCTTTGTATCCATGGTCTTGTAACTCCCACTCAAGTGATTGGGCATGACTGTGTAACAGTGTAATTGTGGTCCACCAAATGGATTGGTCAGTTTTTCTGTACTGCTGGGCTTGAAATGAGCCACCCCAGACGCGGGAAAGAGAGGAACCCATCTCCACCAAGGAAGAACAGCCAGGAGTGGAGAGGTCATCCTTTGGACCCAGGATCCCTGTGCTGAGAAGCTCCTGGACCCAGGAGACAGACAGTGAGCTGTAACGCTGAAGATGGTGTGTAGCAGTGGCAGAGAAGTGGTGGCAGGACAGATCGGCAGGAGAGACAGCACACTGGGCTTCCTGGCCCACGAAGCGAGAAAGCTGAGTGCCTTTGGACAGAGGCAGAGGGCCAGGGAGAGGCGTTTACCTCTGAGCATGTCCTGATGGAAGAACTATGTCCTGGTCATTTCTGAACCTGAATTGTAACCTGTTACTTCCCTAATAAACCCCACAATCATGAGTATTGTCCATGAGTTTTGTGTACTGCAATGAATTATTGAACCCAGAAGAGAAGTAGAGAGTGCTGTGGGAGGGATGGTTGGTGTCATAATTAGTAAAGATGGAGAAGAGAGGAGGCATGTCTGACCTCTACCTCTTAGGAATAAGCCTTGGCTATTGATCTTGATTCTCCTTCCCCCTTGTGAAGTTAGAGGAGGTCAGATACTACCCCCATGCTGTTTTTACAGTCAGGAATGTAAAAACATAATTAAGTGTTGTCTGAATGCCCCAGGGTCTGTTTTCCATGGAGTAAAAATGAGCACCATTTATAGGGCCTGAGGAATACAGGGAGATTGTAACCAAGAGAGATGCAAAAAAACCCAAGGCCTGGAAGCTGGGATGGGTAGAAAAAGGAGTTGGCAGGGAGGGTCTAGGGGAGCAACCAAAGGATGGAGCCATTAAAGCGGAGATGCGTATCAGAAATCTAGGTTTACAGAGATGAGAGAAAGTGCAAGCAAGTTTGAAACAACAGAAGTGCTTGTAAAGGGTGTGTAATTGTTCAGAGCATCTGCTGGTTGGCTATGCTGTCTTTGAAGACTGGGTTAGGGCACAATGTATGTGCGTGTAGTGCCAGGACAGCATTAAAATGCTGGCCTTAAATAAAATACAGCAAGCTTAAAGTTGGGGAGGACCCAAGAAACTTAAGGGAGGAAAAAGTGATGGAACTCAATAATTAGAAGACAATTTTGTGAGAAAATATATTGTTATTGTTAGGTGTTGTTGAGTAGATTCAGACTCATAGCAACCCTATGTACAACAGAATGAAACCCTGCCTGGTCCTGCACCATCCTCACAATCGTTGTTATGCTTGAGCCCACTGTTGCAGTCACTGTGTCAGTTCATCTCGTTGAGGGTTTTCCTCTTTTTTGATGACCCTCTATTTTAGGGGCTTATCTTCCAGCACTATATCGGACAATGTTTCGCTGCTATTCATAAGGTTTTCACTGGCTAATTCTTTTCAGAAGTAGATCACCAGGTCCTTCTTCCTAGTCTGTCTTAGTCTGGAAGCTCAGCTGAAACCTGTCCACCATGGGTAACCCTGCTGGTATCTGAATACCGGTGGCATAGCTTCCAGCATCACAGCAACACGCAAGCCCCCACAGTATGACAAACTGACAGATGCGTGGGGGAGAAACTATATTGTTGGAACAAAGAACAAAATTAAAAAAAAAAAATTTCAGTCCTGGTCAATGGGCAAATTATTGAAAATGCATTTTCTAACTGCAGCATGACAACCAGGAAGCTGCTCTGCTCTCACGCCCATTGCGGGTCAGAGACAAAGTCTCTAACCAGGCTTCCCCAGCTTCCCCTCCCCAGGCGCACAGTTGAGCCCACCTACCTTGTACGATGAGGTGGACCCGCGAGGTCTTCGGGTGGTTGTCTGTCTGCACAGAGCAGGTGTAGGGGCCCTCGTCATACACATCCACATTCTGGATCTCGATGCTGTACTGGGTCTGGGTGTTGCTCAGCAGGACCACACGGGGGTCCAGACACCACTTGTCATTCCCAGCATAGAGAATTGTGCTGCGGTTTAGCCAGGCCACCCGGGTGACTCGGTTGTCAATTGTGCACCTGTAGGGAGGACCAGACAGTTTGGTCAAAGGATTGGAGATAAAATGGGAGCCATCAGAGTGGAACTTTCTTGGCAAACTAGGATGACTTCTCATCACACGTTGTTTTTTCTCTTGCTACACCCTCCCCCACCAGTATAACCAAAAAAGCAGCAGCCATTGAGTCAATTCTGACACATGGTGACTCCGTGTGTGTCAGAGTAGAACTGTGCTCCATAAGGTTTTCAATGGCTGGGTTTTCAGAAGTAGATTGCCAGGACTTTCTTCTGAGGTGTCTCTGGGTGAACTTGAACTTCCAACCTTTGGATTAGCAGCCAAACTTGTTAACTCTTTGCACTCCATAGAGAATCCGGCCTCCAGTATCCACACATACATTTCCTTTGTTAAAGTTCATCATGGGTGCACTTTCTGGAACTCGGTAGCAGAGTTTTTAGAGGATTATAGACTCAGAACAATGACTGCCTCAGACTTCGGGCCATGAGTAGTTCAGTACTTCTGAGACTACCTGAGGCAGGACCACTTCAAATAACTTCCTAGTTGTAACCTGGAGGCAGCTTCCATTCCCAAAATGGCTGAGCCCTACCCCTACCCACCCCCACCCCCATCTTCTCTTTGCTCAAGGGCATCAATGGATGATGATAGTTCCCTGTGTTACTGTTCTAGGTGTTTCATGTGAATTGAATCATGGAATACTTACAAACATCCTTAAGGAAATTCTACTGATAAAGGAATTGAGGCACAGAGAAAATAAACGCTCTAAGAAAAAAGCAGGGGTGGGGGGGTCTTCCTTTCCCCACCCCCCCAACAAGGAAACTTAAGGCTCTTTGGTTTTTGTTAGAGCCCTGAAGGCACAGAACTTGACTGCTAACCAAAAGGTCAGCAGTTCGAATCCACCAGCTGCTCCTTGGAAACCCTATGGGGCAATTCTACTCTGTCCTGTAGGGTCTCTGTGCGTCAGAATCAACTTGTCGGCAACAGGTTTTTTGTTTTAGTTTTTGTGTTTTTTTTGTTGCTTTGTTTCTCTTACTTCTAGTTGGTATTTGACCTTACAATATGTCTACAAATGACAGTCAAAGTGCCAAAAGTGTAGATTTTAGGGTTACAAATAAATTTTAGCGAGTAGGTAAATTTGCAAATACAGAATTGAGAATAGTGAGAATCAACTGCAACTTTTCCAAGTCACAGAGCTAATACATGCTAAATCAGAGACTCAGCTTTTACCTGGTAGATGTGATTGTTCTCATCTCAAACTAGCAAATTCTGGCAGTAAGATTCTGAAGTCAAAACTAAATATGAACCACCATCATTTCTGTTTATCTTCATTATACTCAGCAGCATAAATGCTCAATTACTGCTAGACTAAAGGCATTTTCCGAAATCTCCAAATCGTTTGCACCTATAAAGGTGGATTTCTTTTTCTTTTACTCTTGCATCTGGGTCCCCCAAATTCTAGAAGCTTCCTTCTGTTTTCCTTTTTCCTGTACTTTCAAATTTCCCAGCCGTTCTCACCAAGTCATCATCCCATCTCTCTGCCTGTATGCATTTCCCTCTTCCGTGACACCAAGTTTGTTGCATGGCTTCAGGCTAAATTCAGACTGAGTCCTGATCCTGACTCTAATGCTGGAAATAGTGATGCATCATGAAATGCATAGTGATGCCTCCAATTTATACATTACTTTGCAGGGTACACAGCACTTTTACATTCACACTGTCTCCTTTGATTCTTGTAACAAATCTGTGCACTAGGTGCTTTTACTCACTCCTGCTTTTAAAGAGCAGGACTCTAGGGTCCAGAGCGGTCTAGTGACTTTCCAAAAGTAATAGAGCTAGTAAGTGATGGAGCTGGATCTCTCATCCAGGTCTTCCAGCTCCCGGTCAGGTGCACGCCTCAGAATGTGCAAAGGTATATTTTTCAGTGGGGAGGGGCAATGGCTTCCATCGAATTCTCAGAATGGTCTGTGACCATCCAAAGTATAAGCACCACCACCGAGCACACCGCTTCCCTAGGCAGTCGCTCTTGCGATGCGGCATCCTGTGCTGCGCATCCTTCAGCCTATACTTGTGTAAATGACACACAATCACTGTAGACCACTCGGGCACAGGTGGGAAGCAGCCCTTAGGGCTCCTGTGGGGAAAACCCAGCAACCAGAAAACACCTCTGGCCTGGCATCCAGCAAGTTTTGTGCTGCTTATTGTATCTTCACAAAATCTTGCTAGGGTTCACTTATCACCAAATTACGGATGGTATTAATTAAAGCTAAGAAACATTGCACAAATTGGCTACATCACACTGATATCAAGCTCCAGCACTAGGATTCAAAATCAGTTTTGTCAGATAACTAATTTAGAGTTCTTGACCGTCTCTACAGAGCTTCCCAAAAGAGCACTTTAGATTACTGTTCTCAAAGTCATGCATCAGAATCACCTGAAAGACCTGTTAAAACAGACATCCCTTGGCCCAAACCCCCAGTGACTCTGATTCAGCAGGTTTGAGGTGGGCCTATGAATGAGTATTTCTGACAAATTCTCAAATGATGCTGATTCCAGTGGTCTGAGACCCCAGCTTCTGGTGGGACGAGAGCAGCAGAGTGAGAGGGTACTAGGAAGTAATGCTCATTTGAAAGCAGTTTCCCATTACTTTACAGGAGAAAACTTTCTTGTAACCAATACGTTCTGGGATGCCAAAAGCAGAGTCTTCCTTTTTTTCCTCTAACAGTGGACATTTGACCAGATACCAGGTGAATGGCCACAGTGCAGAAAATACTGACCAACTCTAAACTGCTCGAGTAATTGTTTTTGATACCCACAATGGGGGCATTCACAACCTAACGACGAATACAGAAGGACGGTCCTGGGCTTCCTCGTGAGCGTCTCATTATTGAAAGCTGACTGCACCGAATCGGTCCCACCATTCTGCGCAGCAGTTAGAGGGCCAAGGATGGCCATTTGCAGGCACACTAACAACGCTGAACGCGGCCAACTTCAACAGCTATGTGGCCCCTGTGATATACTACACAGAAAAGCTGGCATGTCTTCAGCTGTGGTTTTGGGCACATCCAAGGTCATGTTTATATGTCCAAACTGTCACTGCTGGATATCAGTCTTGCTGAGTCTCCACAGAATTAATGCTGGCTTCTGAGGAGATGGATCACAGAGGTAGCGTGGCAGCCAAATCCCGTCACCTCCTCCTACCTGCTCCCATCTATCTGTCTCATTTATCCAGTCTCCACAACAACGCAGAGGAGACATTTCTCATAGGTTAAAAAAAAAAAAATGAGTATAGTTCCTCTCTCAACTAGAGAAAATGCTTTGGTTGGAGGCAGTGGGTAGAAGGTCAGGGGTGGGAAATTCAGTCCACAGTCTCCCTCATCTCAGAGACAGCCCTTAAAGTAGCTCTTCTACAAAATCACTCCTAAAACACACTATGGCATTCCACCTCCTCAGGAAGGTGGTCAGCTATATGATGGACTGGCAGTGAGTCAGGTTTCAAACTCAGCTATCCCTGACTAATCCAGGTAATCATGGCTGGAGATGGCCATTGTCGGTGATCGGGGACATGGCCATAGGGCAGCACAATGCAAGCCAGAAAAGAGACAAGGAGATAGAAAGGGTGGAAGTATCCAGCCGAAACCCGGACAGTCTCTCACTCCTCCCCCGCCACACACACGCACAAGCTTGAGATACACAAACTCCCCAACCCCAACATCCCTCTGCCTGTCCTGCCACATATGTAAAGAACAGAGGAGCAACTTTTGTACCCAAGGATTCCGGATTGAGTCTTGGAACTCCCAACTCCCCAAACTCCAAACAGTTCACAGCTCTGACAGCATCCTCTTCACCAGACTTGATGCCTGTCCTCCAGTTGCTTCCCATAGCCCAGCCCTCCAGCCAGTGGGCATGAGCTGTCAGTGTTTCTGTGAATGTCTCTTCCACCCCCAGCAGTCCTGAGGCCCACCCCTCCTGTGTGTGGCCCCATGGACAATCTGTAGTCTGGCTGATCTAACATCCTGGGCAGAATCTAGGCAGAGAAAAAGAAAAAGAAAGCCAGTCGGGACATTCGATTTACCATTTCCGTGCTGGGGCACAGTCCTCTTGGTCTCTGTGCATCGCACCTGGTTCCTTTCCTTGGAGAAGTTTCCTTTTATAGACAATAGGCTGGTCTATTTGAGCACAGATTATCAATGGCATGCAGCCTGCATAGACTGTCAATGCATAATGCATTCTCTTTGATGATGGAAATTTCCATGTGTGGTTGGCCAAAAGGGGATCCAGCCACATATGCACCTGCTGCACTGTGACATGAGCACAGGGGATGCAAAGAAAGCTACCGTACCTGTAACTTTCTGCAGCTGTACCTATTGTGTCAAAGCTCTATAAATGTGGTCTTCTATGTCCTTATCTCTTGCTGATAAAAATCGTGGTTTTATTACACGTGCTGCATTTATATAGAAAGGAATAGCTAAACATGACTAAGCAAGCCCAGTACCTGTGCTGCAGAAACAAAACCTCAAAGTATGCACTCAAGGACTCAAGCTACTTTTGGAGTTGGGATGTGAGAAGAGAGAGGGAGAAATTGGAAGAAAAATATAGCAAAAAGTATCTGCCTAGAACCTTCTAAAGATGGACCAAAAGAGTATTAAAATAAAAAGATTATTGAAGAAAGGGGAAAACTCTATGCTTGACCTTTCTTAAACACACCTGCCTAAAGATCTGTGGACAATAATGGAGCCAGGCAGTGTGTAATCCAACCATTCCTTTGATCCAATGGCCCTTCAACTGCTTTTGAAAAGCAGCATGTCTCAGGCAATGCTGGAGACTACAGTGAAATGAGTGCTTCCACCCTTCACAGCCCCTGGTCACCGTCTCCTCTTGCCGCACAAAAACTCTCCAGCTGCCCCTAAGTTAGTTCCTCTGTGTGTTTGTCTGTGCCCCACCCGCTCCTCAAGCTCCTTGGGGAATCATCACAATGTGACTGGCTCTGAAGTACTGACACGTGGTTAC